GAGCAATTCCAGAACCGTCCTGTAGAGTTTCTTGGGCTGAACCTGACATGGGGACATAAGGGGACATGAAGAAAGAGCAAGTGCAATGGATTAGCAGATTCATCTGATTTGGAAAGAAAGGAAAATTTACTAAAAACTAGTTCACTAAGGGTGGCTTACTAGTTATTTCTAGAGAGTTCTGAAAACTGTTTTACAAAATAGATGAAAGCAGCTCAGGAAAGTCATCCTGCATGGATGAGAAGTACTGAGCAAAATTCATTTCAAGGTATTTCGTGAGGAAAGAGGTCCTGGTAGTGATGCCAGTGTTCTTTGTTATACACTCTGCTGTCCTTTTTTATGTCTAAAAGTACTGTACTGTATATATCAGTATACTCTATAATTCAACCACTCAAAGGCATTAGGAAGTGAACAGCATATGTAAAATAGATAAATATCTTTAGCCATAATCTTAGCCAGGACCTTCAATCCTAAATCCTGTACCTATATCCATATTAGCAATATTTCCTTTATTCTAAAACACACAATCCTTTTATTAATCTAAATGTCTATTTAATGAATATGTTTATTGTAGAATTCATCTAAGAACTGCAATATGCCATTTATTTATTTTGAATAAACAATATACCATTGATTTTGTAAATCTAAATATATTGTTAAAAGGGCACATGTATTTAAAGATTCCCTCAAGCATTTCTGAAAGAAGTTAACAAAGAATTAAGAGACACCTACCTATTTTTAAATCTATCTAGTGCAGCAATTCCAAAATAGTACATTTTGGATGTAAAAGGCTTGCGTAAGGCTTCAAGCACATAGCGCAGGGCCAGGCCCAGGGCCATATAGGTCACCAATCCCTTCTCAATTATCCCACCAAAGAGGCAGGCCGTTATGTGGAGCTCCTTATCAGGATATTGGGGGAAAAAGCGGTATTCTTCAAACAAATTCCTCAGCATACAGTTAAATACTTCTCGCTCCCGTTTAATGTTAGAGTCCTTAAATCTCTGTAGCATTTCTAATACCTGTAAAGAAATCAGAATGTTATAAAGAAAACTCAGTTGTGTGCAGCTCTGCATAAAATATAAAGTTTTTTGAGAAATCCAGCCAAAGTTTGGCTAGATATGGCCTCAAACTTTTTTTTTTTAATAGAAGTCAAATGGAACTCTCTATAGACAACTTTCATTTGCTGGGCTAGATTTCATAAAATGTTTAAAGTCATTATTTCAAGTTTTTTAAGGAAGAAAAGGTCAGACCTCACTCAAGTTCACCTTGACTCCTGGTGACTCCATGGAATATTCAGTTAAAATTCAGGTCTGACCAGCTTTGTTTTTTCAAGACAAAGCTGGTCAGTGGTCACCTGGTGTGATACACCACAGATTCAATTACGTTTCTTAATACTCACTAAGCACGAAACTAGTGCATTTTAAAGGGACTGTGAAAGGATCCAATTCACACTTTAAGATCATCCTGCCATTTATAGATGGCAAAATTCTGCCTTAAGTGGAGTATGAGACCTGCAAAGGAGGAAATATTCTCCCAGACAAGAATTTTTCGTTACAACTGGATTGAGTTGAAGACTGAATTCTTTTCAAAAATACCAGTGTAGGTTTAGTTGCTAGAACTTCTTATTATCTGGCATATAATAAGGCACACTTAACAAAATATGTCAGCAATGAGATTTACTAATGGGATTAACTTTTAAAATACAGGTAGTCCTCACTTACCAACTGCAGTTGGGACCAGCAACTGTTGTTAAGTAGCGTGGCCATTAAGCACAGCATCAGGTTACCATGCTGAGTCAGTCCTGTCTATAGTTGTTAAGTGAATCATGGCAGGTCATTAAGCGTGATGTCACGTGATCATGACTTGCGATTTCCTGCCAGCTTCGCCAGTGACTTTGCTTGCGGGAAGCTGGCTGTGAAGGTCACAAATAGTGATCACATGACTGCAGGACGCTGTGACCATTGTAAATGCACGCTGGTTGCCAAATGCCCAAATTGCAATCACAACCATGGGGACATTGCAACAGTTGCAACTTCAAGGACCAGTCATAAGTCTAGTTTTTCAGTGCTGTTTTAAGTTCGAACAGTTGCTGAATGAGTGGTTGGTAGGTGAGGACTACCTGTAGCAGTTACGTTTTGCATGCAGGATATATTAGAAGCATAAAAATTGTCTCTAATTGTAGAGAAGTGCATTCTGAAACTTTCAATTTTCAGTAATTTGCAACCCAGCAGAAAGTACTTGCAAGCACCTCCTACCCCAAGAGTTTGATAATACTTGAAACAAAAGCATTTGCTATATAGGTTCTCCAAACTCACCTCATCTACAGACATGGTGGGGTGGGGTGGGTGATTATAAATACGCTGAAAATAGCTGTTGGCTTCATCATCAATCTCTTTGCTAAAGTGCTGATTAGCCTCTGGCCATACCTGAGATAAATCAGCTGTTGGAAAAAGGGACATACAAATTAAGAACATGAAAATGCATTTATTTTATGGTGCCAAGGTAACAGAAGCCATCTTACAGTATTTCAACAGCCTCTACCAATCAGGGAAATAATTGGGACCCAGAACACCTATAGGCAGAGGCCCCACTGAAAGATGGTCATGTTATCCAAAAAGCAGATTAGCATGTAAATGTCTCCCACGTGTGATGAGGACGCTCCAAGTCAGACAAGAGATTTGGGCAGAGGCTGAGAGCACAATGAAGACAACCTTTGGCAGGAAATATAAAGTAGGACACAACTTAATTCTTGTGAAAGAGTAAGTGCCCACAAACAGGGTTTCTAGTAAGAAAATCACTTAGCAAGCAGCAAAGACTCAAAGGATTTCTTGGTCAACACGACTGAAGGCTTCAAAGGACACAGGAAACCACACTGACAGGTGCATGTCAGGAGATTTTCTAAAGGGTTATCTTCCCATAGAAGAACAATGAATGCAGCTACATTATGGTTGGATGCAGCTCAATAAATAGATATGTAAAAAGCACAAATCACTTAAATGACAGAGAAAGGTCAAATTCAGGAATATCAGAGAACGAAGAAGAAATGAAACCAAGAAGCTTGCTTCTTATGTAAGTGTAGAAAATCAACAACGTACAGTTGCAGGCAAAAGTCAGGCATCCTGGCCAAAGTGTATGCTTTAGTGAATCTTAATGAACAGCAACTGACCAAACCTCCACATGGCACAAAGTTTAAACTTCAACCAGCCTTCTAATGTTTCCTATAGCCACTCAGGAGTCCTTCTATTCTTGCTATGAATCCCGCCCCCCCATCACTTTCTTGTGGAATTGTTCTAGCTCAGAAATATCCTTAGGTCTCCTTACATGTACAAGATCTTCCCACAGATTTTCAATAATATTCAAATCTGGGGACTTGCAGAAGCATTTCCAAAACCTTTATCTTTCATTCCTGTATTACACACCACTGATTTGGAAGTATGTTTTAGACTGTTGCTTGCTGAAATATCCTTCAGTTTTCTTAACTGTGGGACATCAGCTTGAAGTTCAAGAAAAAAATGTGTTAGAACTGCCTGAAGACTGCTCAGATCTGCAAGGCAGTACCCCAACAATCAGCTGAAAAGTTTAGCTGACAGTGAGGTAGGTTCCCTCAGGCTCATAGGAGAATGTTGCTTATACAATAGAACCACTGTCTAAAATATACAAAAGCCTGAAACTAACAGAACAAAAATTGAACCGTTCAGCCACAGCCACAAAGGATACATTCAAAGAAAAAAAGTTGAAGAAGAGAGCCAGTATGGTGTAGTGGTGAAGGCAGCAGGCTAGAAAATGGGAGACAGTGAGTGGGTGACCTTGGGCCAGTCACTTTCTCTCAGCTCTAGGAAGCAGGCAATGGCAAACCACTTCCGAAAAACCTTGCCAGGGACATGTCCAGTAAGTCGCCAGGAGTCAACACTGACTTGAAGGAACCTACACACATTCGAAGAAACTGGTACCTTGTCAGTGTTAAGTACAGCAGTGGCTCTGTTATGCTTTGGGGTTGCATAGCAACCAGTACACAGGAAAACTTGGGCAGGTGGAAGAAAGGATGATTCAACTAAATATTAATGTATCCTAGAAGAAAGTGAAGCTGAAAAAAGATTGGAAATTTCAATAAGACCACAATCCAACATATACCTCCAAATTAGCCACAAAGTACTTACACGAAAGAAAGATACACATTTTGGAATGGCCTCTAGAGTCCCAGACAATATTACTGAACACCTGTGGGAAGATCTCAAACATGCTGTACATTCAAGGAGACCTACGGTTATTTTTGAGCTAGAACAGTTCCTTAAAGAAGAGTGGGAGGGAAAATCGAAAAGCAAGAACAGAAAGACTCGGTGGGCTACAGGAAACGTTTGGAAGCTGTAATTTCTTTCAAAGGAAGTGTTGCAGAGTACTGACTGAGAGGGTGTCCAAAGCTCTGCACCTGCCATAGTCGCTACTTTTTTATTCTGAATCTGGACAGCACCATCAACCCACTGCATCCTAAACAAGCAAAAGCTGCAGACTGACCAACCTTGAGCAAACAACATTACCACTTACAAGGTTTCACCTTACTCTGCTGGAATGTAGGCTGGTTCAGTCCTGATGTGTTCAGTTTTCTTGGCACGAACGGATCGTTGTTCACTGCAGGGAGGCCAAGGGCCCCAGTTCCGATACCGAGACTACCTGTTGTAAGACCACCTACTGAAAAGAACAAAATAATTATCCCCTTTACAACTGCAACTCTGACTTTGGAACAGTATAGCTATCCTCATCTTGAAAAAGGTCAATGATAGTGTTCAAATTATAGGGGCCCAAGGATTCCACCACCCTGAAAATATAAAGGGCACTGCAGAGGTCAATGACAGAGATAATTTTGTACTCAAATACATGCCAAATAGCACTTGCTATACTGAAACAGCTTCCTCTATTTTGCATGTATTCAGACATGCATTATTTAAAATCCTAACTTTCTTTTTTCCTTTCATCTGCAAGCTCAGAAAATTTGGGCTTTGGGAATAGGAAGCAATATCACTTGACAAAGAACTGATTCTTAGGAATAGAGGGATATGTGTTGAGTTTTTGGGATACAGAGAAGAAAATGTAACAAAAATAGTTTCCCCTTATCTGAGAAGAGGAGCAAGCCATAGTATTTAATGTTTGGTCCCAGAAGCAGGGTCAGCATGATAACTACCAGGACTATTTCCCTAATGAGCACTAGCTTCTTCAATACAACTGTACCTGGAAGCTGCGAAGAGAGTCCACCAATCCCGCTAAAAGGTGTGTTCTGGTTTTGCGCGGAAAGTGGCGGAAATGCTTTTGCTGGTGACTGAGGAGTACTAAAAGCAGAACTCAAGTTTGGAGGAAACCCAGGGACACTCTGGGTATGAGGTACGGTCGGACCACCTAAACTGAGAGATGCCATCCCAGCAGCAAGTGGATCAATCTGACAACAAGAATAAAATATAAAGGAAAAGGAAACATTTGTTTTTATATCAAATGGTTAGGGTTAGGGTTTATCATCTTTATTTAGATCACACATGCAAAATCAGAAACACTTTAGATCAAATCCTAAGATGATGGTTCTATTCCTACTAACATATGAAGAATCATGAAGATCAGATCCAAAAAGCTGGGGCAGCTTTTTGTTCCCAAAATGCCAACCATCTGCCCTGAAAAGCTCAAGAAACAACTGGTGTTTTGCCTACAATACTGGAAATCAGATAATATATGGCCTTCATAACTGAAAGCATAGGTAGCCTTATCCTCTGCGAATACAAAAGACACAATAAGCAGAGCTAATCAGAAAGGCTAAAAGGAGAAATGCATGCAGCAAAGGTAAAGAAAAGTTGGTAGAATGGAATGAGTTCGATACAGCCCCTGTACATATCAGCACAATAGGTAAGGGTGATGTCACTTTACCTATCAAAAAGAGATGCTTCTGCAGAATTCTGCTGATGGCTCTTCTAGATTATAATTGAACATGCAGGACAATTATCTTCCAACTGACTACAATACTGTTCAGTAGTTCAGCATGGCCTTACTGCAGATAAGTTTCTTTTTTAGTTACGCTCACATACTTTCCTTTCATTCATGTTTTTTTTTTCTTTTAATCAACAGAATACAGCCAAATATAGGATTTAGAAAATAAATAATGACAGGGCACACCAGTCTACCTCTGAGCACAGTGCTGGAGATGTTCCTTGCTTTTTAAGAGAGCAGCTCAGCTGAGAGCAGAAGAGGCCCATCGTAACAAGCCCTTACAGTCTAGCACTGTTACTTGGCCTGAGAAGCTGTAAGAGGCCAATCAGGTTCAAAGGTAGTGCTTAACCTGTAAGGTAACATTCACCACGTAAAGAAGACAGGATTACAGGGAGTCCCCAGTTAAGAATGCCCGGTTTATGGACGACCCATAATTAAGAACGGAGCCTCCTGTAGCAAAATTCGAGTTAAATACACAATGATTCGAGTTAATTACACAATACTACTTATACAGTATTATACAATAATACTGCTCCAGCTTACATACAGATTTGACTTAAGGACAGACCTTGGGAATGGAATTCATTCTTAAACTGGGGACTCCCTGTAACTCCTTTTGAAATAAACTGGATTATATACACAAAAAACCAGTGGGCAAAAGAACTACTACCTGCTTTTTCTCACATGTTCTACCTACCTGCACAGGGGAGATGGCATCCAGACTACTAGCACTGGGGGGACGACCTTTGGGCATCACACCAGGTGGTGGCTGTCTGGCTTTGTTCACCACATTGCTGCAGTTGGCTACCATGGTGAGAATAGTTTCTGAGAGCTCTTGCGATACGCTTCTAAAGGAGAAACAAGATTTTACTTACAGTTAACAGCAATTCAGTTTGTTCTAGTGCTTTCCAAAGAGCTGTGTTTGGTCCTAGCTATAAGCCCTACTGGATGGAAGAGCTACCAAATCCCCCATCTTAGAACTGGCTTGCTTGAGCTTAGATATCCTTTTCTCAATAACTCAGGGACAAACAACTCAACATATTCTAACAAATTTTCGCCCAATGAGCACCTGCAGGGTCCTCTCCCCATCTGGAACTAATTCCCAAATAAACAGACAGAAGAGGCGGGCATTTAGGGGCTGAGATGTTGATCATGCATGTACCTAGGAAGTACATGATAGTACTGGTAGTCTTTCTTTCTTTCTTTTTTTTCTTTTCTTTTCTTTTTTTTCTTTTCTTTTCTTTTCTTTCAGATTTGTATGGCTGCCCATCTTAGAGCACAACTCTTGGCGGCTCCGAACAACAACAAAACCATGAAACCATAAAAGCCTAAAAACCTGGTGCCTCAGTCACCCTCCCAGGATCCCCCAACAAACATCCACAGGCTCCCAACACTACCCCAGTGCCTGCATGAAGAGCCAGGTCTTGATGGCCTTCCAGAAGGCTAAAAGGGTGGGGGCTTGCTGGATTGCCAGGGGGAGGGTGTTCCTCAAAGTAGGGCAGCCACAGAAAAGGCAGGCTTCCAAGGTCCCACTAGAGGGCATTATTTCAGGGAAGGGACCTGTAGTGTGCCCACCCTATCTGGTCCAGTGGGATGGGCAGATACCCTCAGGGAGGGGTGGTCCCACAAATAGCCTGGTCTATGCCATGTAGAGCTTTAAAAGTGATAACCAGCACCTTGAATTGCACCCGGAAGGAAACTGGGAGCCACTGCAGCTCACGCAACAGGGATGTAATATGGGCGAACATAGGGCACTTAACACTGCATGTGCTGCTGCATTCTGGACCAATGTAGTTTCTGGGTGGTCTTCAAGGACAGCCCCATATAGAGCACATTGCAGTAATCCAAGTGGGAGGTGAACAAGGCAAGGAACACAGTTCCTCCCCATCCAGACCCTTACAGCCTCCAAGCACTCAGTCATCCCCAAAACAGCATCACCTGCCTGGCCAGGAGATGTATAACTGGGCATCATCAACATAGTGATGATACTGCACCTTGTACCATTGAATGACCTCGCCCAGCGGTTTCATGTAGATGTTAAAGAGGAGACATGAGAGACGTGACCCCTGAGGCACCCTGCATGGAACCGGTTGTCGAGAAAGGAGAACCACCACAAAATAGTACCTCCCCATCCTAGCCCCTGAAGCCAGTCCAAAAGGACACCATGGTTGATGGTATCGAAAGCTGCTAAGAAATCCAGGAGTGCCATGATAGTTGCATCAGTGTCCAAGCGTCAGTCTTTGGTAAGACTTACCAGATAGGCCAGACAGGAAACATGACCACATGAGCTAATTCTACTTTATTGTAAGGCTACATTAACAGAATCTGCAAGTCTGAAAGTACAAATCTCCCGCTGTTGTCTTTACAGCCTAAGGAGGGTCCCTTCTGTGATGGAATGGACTTATGAAGGCCAGGCTCAGGGAGATAAGCGTGTTCTTAGCCCC